GACATATGGAGGGGTGCTTGAAGAAAGGGATGGGGAGAGGAATGCTCAAATATTTTAATGGTTTTTGCTCATATTACATATATTTGGTGAAATTTGATATTTTTTTCCAAAAACAGAGGGTCGGAGGAGGTCGGCCCGGCGCCTAAGACTAGGTTCCCGACTCTAAGATTCTACTCGGGGCGTTGTTAAAAAAAAGTTTGGGGATGTTATTAAAAAAATTAGTTAGAGGCTAATTTTGAAATTTTGATCATCCATAATCCTTCCCTAGGGTCATGTGAGGTCCGTGTATCTCAATATGTTTTTACTTTCTATTGTTGACATTTCAGCTTAACCTTGTGTTTTCTTTCAGTAACCAGCTGACTGGTATTTGTCAAGTATGGAGAAATAAGACGTGGCAACCCTTTCCATCCTTGAACCAAGGAAGATCATTCTTTACATTAAACAGTTTAAACGATACAATTGTTGTCAGCGGAGGGTTAACTCCAGAGTAAGTTTTTAAAACTTTTTTTTCTAGGTTTGTATAACCTAGGCATATTCCTGATTATCAAAAATATTAGAGGGGGGGGGGGGGTCTTGAGGACCTCTCCTCCTTGTTGTGGTCTATTTCTATATATATTTAATACCTGTTGGGAAAGCCATTGCCTTCAAAATTCTCTTTAAAAAAATTTAATTGCAAAATTTAGTTATTTTAAAAAAATGGCAAGAACCAAAAGTATATTTTTATAAGACTTTATTCAAAACCTTTAAGCTTGAATTCAAGTAAATTTAACCCTATCTCCGCTGGGGTACTTGAAAACCAGGATACGCTGGGGGGGGGGGTCAATTTGACCCCCCCCTCTAAATCCCATGTTTTATGTCCAAATATGACAAATGATACATCATTAGAAAGCTCTTGTGCTCTACTTTTAGAATCTGCAAAAAAATTTGCAAATTTGCGAAAATTGAATTTTTTATCGCAAAATCCAGTTTTATAGTAAAAATGTTTGCAAAAAAAAATTTGTCCAAAAAATGACAAATTATACATTTTTGAAAAGCCCTTGACCATGCCATTTCAAATATGCAAAAATTTTTGCAAAATTTTAAATAACCTGATCTTTAATCAAGAAAAACTAAAAATGTGCAAATTTCCTTTGACAGGTTGTTTGCAAAAAATTTGCAATTTTTTTTTCGCAAAACTTGTGCAATCCGTTTTCTTATGTCATAGGCTTTCCAAAAAGCTAAATTTTATCAAAATCTGACAAGTGAAAGTGGGTCAAAACAAAGATTTAGTTTGCTACAGGCAAAAGCAGTCATTCAAGCAGTGTGCCTGAGGACTCAGGCAGTTAGTATTAAAGCCCGGTTTTAGGCCTAAAGGGAGGGCTTTGGGTATGTAAGAAAAGTCAGAAAATTTCAACATCCTCAGACCAATACTTTTTGAGTTATGTAAAAAAAACTACAGGGGGGGGTCAAATTGACCCCCCCCCAGCGGGAATAGGGTTAACTGTGAAAATTCCCTATAAATGTATATGCAAAGTTTACGCTAAATTCCTTTGTAAGTCTGTTTGTGTAACTCAATTCAGGCATATGCCTTAGTTAATTAGAAAAGTTAATAAATGAACAAAACAATGTTATCTATGTCCCCAAAAAAATATTGTAATATCATAACATAAATTTATGAATTTGATCATCATAGCTAGAGAAGATCATTCTAGAATCTAGATTTTGTTCATAAGTATGTGGAACCCAAATAAAGCTTCAAAATTAGTTTGTATTTCATATTTAGAACATCAAGCAGTATGGAGATATACAATAAAACAGGAGAGAAATGGGAACAGCTGAGTATTGAATTAACTTTTGCTAGATATCAACATTGTGCTGTTGACATTAGGTAAAGTTGCAGTTATCTAGGGTGTCAAAATAAACATGAAATTAAAGATCTAAAAAGTGATTAACTCTATTTTTTCTTCTTTATGTTTTTTTTGATTAACTTCTTAAACCTAACTTGTCGCTAAAAAGGTTAACTTGGGCTGAAATAGATTTTGCTGAGCATTACTGGACTGGACTCTCAGCTTTGAGTTCTGAAATGAATTTACAGAATTTTTCAGTTCTCAAACTGTTCTCTCGTAGTTTTTAGTTATTTTGCATGAAATCTGAACCTATACCTCATTTATAAGAGTACTTTTTAGGTTTTATCTAGTTTCGTTTTTTCTATTTCCTTCTATTTTAGTTTGGTGAATCTTTTTTGGTTTCAGTTCTTTCTAGTTTAGAAATCCAACATCAAACCATGTCTACATGTTGGTAGTTCTTGTTCTTGTTTTTTTTGTGTCTAATTTGTTTAATCTTTTTGACCAATTTTGATAAAACCACATATCCCCTGCACCATTAAAGTTGGTAATCTATTTTTTTTAATGAGCTGGCATTGAAATTGGACTATGAATGTGAGCAGCTATACATAGATTTAAACCACCTTAATTTATAGAGATTCCGTTAACCCGAGTCTTCATTGCGTTTTTTGGCAAAGAAAAGAATTTAAAGATTTTAATGTTGTCAGCTCAATACAAAGCAGAAAATAATTTTTTAAACGGAAAACTATTGATAATGGGTGGAAAGGCTGAAGCATCAGTAACAGAAACAGTGGAACAATACACAATAAACTTAGCTACATTAGAAGCTAGTAATATTACGAAGGCAAATATGCTAACTGAAAGGTAATATACATTTTTAAATTCAGAGGTGTATTCCTGAACAATCGTCCTTATTAAAATCACTGAAACAAAAGTGTGGATATTCTTAAATGAAATTTTGTGAAACTTGAAGGTAGTTTGGGGAACAGATTCTCAAAGTATGGTTCCAATAAAAATTCCCCTGATAATCTTTAGAGAAATTATTTGAACATCTAATTGTAGAGATAATTTGGGGTAAAGATTTTCAAGACTGGGTTCAGAGAAATTCATCAACAATTTTCCAGCCAAATTTTAAAACAGAGAAATTCCAGAGACTTCAAATACTAAATTAGATAAAACTGATGTCAATGACATAAAAATTCATACAATAACACCATGTGCATTGTGAAGAATGTGACAGATTTTTTTCTGGAGGTCTTAAAAACGTTTTTAAAAAGGTTCTTCTAAATCTTAATGAACAATTTTTTTTAAATTCTTAGATACAAATTTCTGTTAATTTGTAGTATCTATGTAGATACATGTTCTCTTGTGCTGTCTTTGAGAACAATGTGTATATTTCTGGTGGCACTGACACATATGATGATTCTGTGGATATGTATGATGTTGATAAGGATGTCTGGACACGATTAACGACAACGCTCAATGATGGAAGTTCATATTATCGCCAAATTATTAATCTGAATGGAGCTTTGTATCTTTTTGCCAAGGTGACAGAAGTCTACAAGGATGGCATCTGGAGTCTTGTCAATGATTCAACTATATCTGAAAATGATTTCTTCAACATGGTGGTTGTACCTTGTGAGAACTACCTTTGTGGATAAATGTTCACTAAATATTTAATGGATTTCATTCCACATCGCAATGTTGATGGAAACAATTGCTAGAATCGAAATTAAATTTGTGAAACTTTCTGTGATTTAATAGTTATAGATAGTTATGTGAGACCAGTTGCACAGTCCACACTCAAATTATAATAATTAACAACCTCAAAATATATGACAATTGGAACTTTGCTCGCCCTAAAGTAATAAATAATTTTAACCAAGGAGAATTGAATACAAGGAGGGGGCAATAGGGTTTCCGTACACTTTGCTTTGACGTTTTTGGACTGCTGGAGAACTAGTTTTTGCGTAACAACAATAATAAAGATTGTTAACAATAACACAAATGATGAAGATTCACCGTATACTAACTCATGTTTGTTTACGTTAGATCGGCTGCCTTAATTATTGTTGTTACGCAAAAACTAGTTCTCCAGCAGTCCAAAAACGTCATAGCAAAGTGTACGGAAACCCTATTGCCCCCTCCTTGTATTCAATTCTCCTTGATTTTAAGTCTCCATACAAAGTATATTACAGACTGCCCTTTATTTACAGAATAAATGGTTGCATTAATGTTTAGTTCCAACAGTAAAAAAATCGTTAAGATTTAAAAATCAACAGTTTTCGATAACCTCTGTTTCATTAACATAACGTTGCTTAGCCCTAAGGGTTAGAGGGACAGTTTACCAAATTCAGCCAATGGAAGGAATCAGCTGTCATCTTTTTTAAAAATAAAAAAACAATTCGTCATTTTGTTATCTAAGTGCAAGTAATGGCGATATGAAGCCCAAAATAAAATAAATAAAATTCACATGCTCATACTTTATTCTATTCATACTTAGCAGTTTCTCTATGATTGATAGATTTATTAGATATCAATCATACAATTCATTTGATGAAGCTGTATAACAACTGATATAATTTAGCAATAAACAGTGACTAATTGTTTTATAAAATTTTTATTTTTGATAATTACCTGAGAATTAAGCCAAATATAAGTATTTTAAAGTAAAGATTTCTTTTAAAGTAATATCTTCAAAATTAATGTTGACAATATTCTATGACAACAACTGAAGTTTCAGGCTCAGGCAGTTAGCATAAAGCCCGGTTTTAGACTTAAAGGAAGGGAGCTATGGGTATTTAGGAAAAGCCAGAAAATTTCAACAGCCTCAGACCAATACTTTTTGAGTTATGTAAAAGTGCAAATTCCAGAAAGTATAAAAACTCCGTTTTTCCACTTTGAACTATATGTACCCTTCAGAAGGGGGTAGTGCGGATAGCAGAGGGTGGTGAGGGTTAGTTGCCATTCAGATTTAGCATCAAGGTTGGGGTTTCTCTAAAAACGGACGGTAGTGAGGGAAGTTGCCATTCAGATTCAGCTTCAATTGTGGGGTCTCTCTAAAAGCAGACGGTAGTTTCAATTGAGATTTAGCTTAAAGCCAACTACCCAAAGCTTTTTTTTATCAATATAATGAAGGCGACGTTCGAATTAATTTGATTTATATCAAGCTTTTAACAGCATGGATACAGATAAACATGGAAACAAAGAAGTTGTCAATTTAAAAAGCTTCTCTTTAATTACTTATAAACTTGTAATTCGAGATAGGTTGGAAACAATATAAAAATTTATATAAATAACTGTCTTTAATATATTGATTCAATTGCCTACCACCGTTGTAACCTGTTAGTGTTAAATCTCTTATTAAATGAAATGGATCTGTTAGCACTTCACGATTTCTCTGTCGCATGTTCATTAGACTATTTAAAGGGAGTGATTGCGAAAAATTAAAAGGGGTAGAGGATGATGTCAAATTTAGTTCGATATTGATCGCTAGCGACTAATTTTACATTTATCTGTTCCTGTTTTATCAGTATTTTTAAAATTAATTAAATTATTCACGATCTGAGTGAAAAATGCAATTCCGTGAATTTGTATGGAATTAATTGGTGGTGATAAATATCGAATTTAATTCGATATCAACCTATACCCCCTTTTATTTTTCGCAGACACTTCCTTTAAGTTATAACTTAAATCCAAAAGCCGCCTTTCTACTCCCGAGTTTTATATCTTTTCATATACTTACTTTTAAGATGAAAATAAATAATGATTAATAAATATTGTTGTTAAAATTAATTCGAAATATAAGGAAGACGATTTTTCCGACTCAAATTGCCGTAGCCTTTTCTCTAGATGTTTGCGTACTCTAATCATTAGTTTTAAAAGACTTCAAATTTTGTGCAATGTAAAGCAAAAAAATTAATAGTTTGGTGTTCTACACAACCTGATAGTACCATCCTAGTATAACTGAGTGATTTTAATCTTCTAAGAAAGAAAAGATATGNTGAAGTTCTACAAACACCTCCAATTGATATTCGTCTATAGTTTCTTTATTAATTTCTAAACCAACCAATTTTAATGCCACTTGGGAAAATATTTCAAAACATCCGTTTTATTAAATAAATGTTAGAAATATCCATGTAGATCTCCTTTTATTTTATCATATTGACTTTTAAAGTCTACAATTGTATTTAAATCATAACAAAAAACATGAAAGAACAAAAACATTACAATACAATCTATAATTAGTAATTACAAACACTTGAAATACAATTTGTCAGGGAACAAAACTTTATAAAAACACATTCTTGAGATGACTAAAATCCTATTTTTTCTGCTAACACATCTGAACCATACATTTGAAAATAAAATTGTTCCCTCCACATCTAACTATAAACATGAGGATTAAATGGAATTTTTTCGACCTTTTTATTACAATTAATAAACGACGACACTTGATGATAATAATGTTGAGAAACTTCTAAACTTTTTAAATTAAGAACCACTGCGATCGTTTTCAGTATCTAACAAAATTACCATTGTTAAAATCATATTTGAAAAGAAAGAAAAAATTGTTTAAGAATTGAAGTCCACATTTTAGAAATTCCATTAAAAACAGAAACAGATTCACTAATAAAACCCAAACATAAACTTCAGTGGTAGGTGATCATATAAAAATATTAAAGACGACTTTTTTATTTAAGTTTTTTATTCCAAGCTTTTTTCGAATTACAAGTTTACAAGTAATTAAAGAGAAGCATTTTTAATTGACAGCTTCTATTTGTTTACTTTTTCTGTGTATCCATGCAGTTTAAAAGCTAGGTATAAAACAAAATTGAAAAAGAAAATCGTCTTCATTGTATTGATATATACGAAGACGACTGTATTTGAGGGATAAGTAAAAGTAAAGACGTTTGCTTTAACATAAAAAGGTCAATAATTCAAATGTTTTTTTTGGTTATCATTTTTCTAAATAAAAATAATTTTTTTCTCAGACGGTACAGTTTACAAAAGCTATGCTAATATCAAAGTGAGAGGGAAAATCAGGGAAGTATTAATTCTCATCTGTTAGACAAAATTTGTTTTCATCAAAATATCAATCCTCAGCTAATCTCACAGTTTCTTTTACGTGATCTAAAAATTATAATTATTCATGCCATCTCTACACTTTTCTCTAAAGAGTCTGAATCCACCGTTTTCAAGCTGTTTGGAGATTCTTCTATTTTCAACGGAGACGGACTGCAGGAAATGTCGTCTTTCTGAATATGAACCTTTCCCGCATTTTCAACAGTTTTTGAGGATTTCGGAAAATCACTGATATCCAGGGACATGGAAATATCTTTTGCATCGTCAGCTGTATCCATCGTTCCACGCTGAGATATCTAAACAAAGGTTGCCTTAAAAACTTATTGAGAATTAAGATGAATGATATTGAATTCGGATAATTTTCAAATTTTTATTTTCAAAGTAGAAAAAAAAATTTATTCCTTGTGACGGAAGTAAAAAAGAATCATTTAATAATTTAATTTTTTCCTTAGTGTATATTTACAATTTAGAATAAACTGGCCTACTGCCCTATTTTACTATTTTTACTGTTCCCTTAAATTGATAATTCTTTTTCCTTGCAAAATCAATAAATAAACCACTTCAGGTGAAATACTTAAAATCAAAACTAGAATCGTCCTATTTAAAGAATTTAAATCCTCTTTGTACTCTAACCCTTTGTGGACATTCTTAATATCTAATTTATTTTAACATTCGATCAAAATTAGTCATCTCCATTAATAAGCCAGCAATTCAAAAACAAAGCTTTTATTTAGAAAAAATACTTGAATAAACATCATTTGTGGGATCTCGCCTGACCCCAGGGAAAGTTTAGAATTTTCAAAAATTTGCATCTAACAAAATTCGATTTTTGTAAATTTTAAAAATCCAAGATTTTTTTTTATAAAATCCGTGAAATTGGTGTTTGTTTTTGTTTCACAATGTACACAAAGAGAACATATTCTATATTGATAAATCCTTGTTTATATATAGTTTACCCTATACCTCTTTTGTAGACTGTGAAAGAATACCCTGCATTAAATCAGAAGCAAAACATTTTACAACTTTAGGTCCAGGAGGGCTGACCTCTTTCTCCTTAATAATAATAATAATAATAATAATAATAATAATAATAATAAAAAACCTGAATATGCATGCCGGGAATCTCTGTACCCCTAGGTGGGGCTTTCTTGGGCGTGGCAGGATCTCCTGATCCTACCCCTGGTAGTGAGCTAGGTCGAGGAGACCGGCTACGTGAGGGTGGGCGGATCTCTTCTAAGAAGGATGATGTAGACACACCCTCCACCAGGCGTAAAGGAAAGCCCGAATCCAACCTGAAAGGAATTATAAATGTTACATTAACAATATATATTGTGTATGTAATAAGTTGGTTCGGTTTTCTGTACTTTAAAAGGATACAAAGAAATCTTAGAAATTTTACAAAATTTCAAAATTATTTGATCTAAACATTTGATGTTGCTCCACTATGCCAAGTTTTGGCATAAAATTATAATAACAAAGATATAATTTCCAAGTTTGATAAAAATAACCTTTACAGAATACATCTTTTAAATCCTGGATGTTTTATTAAAAGTTAAAAAAACGAAACATAAAGATTTAACAACATCAGTAGAGATTAAAGTTTAAAAAAGTTGAGAATTGAATTATTGTAAACAGTTGACTGAAAACGCTTAAATTAAGTTTATACGGTCCTGTCTTCTTAATATCAATAAACAAAATCTGCTGCAATACAAAAACGGGTTAACTGTCGTCTTTGTAGTTTTTTTTTTAATAGAAATTTTCAGATTAGTCCCGAAAATTGTAATTTAAAGCTTTAAACGATCCAATATGATATGGGACACCATGTGAATAAAAAAATCTGCTGCAGTACAAAGAACGGGTTAACTGTCGTCTTTGTATTTTTTATAAAGAAATGCCGCGATTGTATTTAGTACTTGGCAAAAATATCCACTGAAAACTTCAAGAAAATTGCAAAGATTTTATTTATGTCATTTCACCTTGTATGGTCACTGTCACTTGTATCTACGTCAGTAAATGCCTGAAATTTATCATTTAGTCAATATATATATTTATAATTTATATTTTATAATAAAGCTCTTCGCTCATATAGACATTTGTATGTATGTATGTATGTATTCTAATATATTCTTCCTTATGTTCAGGGGTTTCCGATATCATAAGAATTAAGTAACAAATTTGAAATTGACCTTGTTAAAGTGAGTGTTTGCGAAAAATTAAAGTGGGTATATAGGCTTACGGCGAAAAGTAAGTACTTTTGATCGCTACTAATCTTACTATTGCGTATGTAAGGAGAAAACTGTTAAAAAACTACTCATGCTGAAGAACGTGGTGTCCATGCAAATTTAGAAAGATGCAACATTCAACTTGGATAGTAAAATAATCAATTTAATTCCAAACAAATCATTTAGATATTACAAACAATAGTCATCGATTATTTTTCGACGCATTCGTTTATAGTTAATAATTCATAATATTTTTTTAAAAACAATATTTCGTTGGGAATGGTTTTTGAACATTCCTGGAAAATATGAAAATGTCGTCTTCATTATCAAAAATTCTCGAAACAGGGATAAATGTTTTCAGAAGTAACTTTCAGATTATAAAAAATAAAGAAATATTATGAAATATTAACTTTATACGAAAGCGTCAAAAAATTATCGATGATTATTGGTTGTAATATCTGAATGATATGTTTGGAATTAAATTGATTATTTACAATCCGAGTTGAATATTGCTACTTTCTGAATTCGTATGGACGCTTCGTTCTTCGGTATGAGTCGTTTTAACAATGTTCTCCTTATAGACGCAACAGATGTAAGTATGATTAGTAGCGATCAAAAGCGCTTATTTTTCGCCGTAACCCTCCCCCTTTAATTTTTCGCGTACACTCCCTTTAAGAATTAAGTTTTAACACCAAATTTCATTGGTATAAAAAAATGTTACGTCTGTATAGAGCATATTTAATGTATACATAGACGCAAACGGGTTTTATTTTATCTTCAAAACGTTGTATGATGTGTCTGTATTATTTCTTTACAAGTTCACAACACAAACAAACAATAGCAAACGAAATATTTTACGACTAAAAAAAATGTATTAGAAAAATAACTTAATTTTCTAAAATTAATAAAGCTATTCAGTTTTACCTGCCGACTCCCGAATAGAAAAGTCTCATTTTGAGGTGTTTTAACTGCAACTATATCGGTCTAGATCAAATAATTTTATTTAAAAAACACGTTTTTTGGTTAATCAAATTTACATTAATTTTTTAGATGTTTGGAAGAAATTTTGGCAACATTAATGGGAAAGATTGTTTGTTACCATGACCATGTACATACTATGTAGTTTTTGTTATTGAAAAAGTATATGGAGCTCTTTAAATCTGTTACCGCATGTTTTATGGATTTTTTCATATATTTTACCAAAAACAGGTATTCCTCGTGCCACGAAAAATCGATCACTATTAAAAATAAATTCAAGACGACATTTAAAAATTCTTTCGATGTTTCCGAAGTTTTGGGTTAACTGTAGCATGTACTGTACCTGTGCTAAACTATCACAAGATCTGCTGATGGTTACAGGGTTTGGTAAGGTGAGAGAGGGAGGAAGGGACATCGTCATGGAGTTAGGTAAACCTTGATGTACGCTATGTACACTATGAACCCCCGGGGGTGTACTGGAGCTAGAATGCCGCGATCTTTCGCTCACATATCTCACAACTGTTGCTAGGGAGGCTTGAAGGTTCTCAACTTGATTCTAAAATAATTTTATAAAACCAAAATCTAAAACTGGATATATTCACAACAAATAAAAACAATTAAAAGTGCAAATCTAAATTGCCAGCTGATGAAAATTCAAGATGGCGACTGAATACCTGAAGGTTAGCACATGTTCTTGAAAGATCTGCAACAGATTTATCATCTACACCACTAGTAGAACTACCAGACCCTCCCAAGAAATCGTCTCCTGGACAATTTGTTAAAAGTTTAAATTATAAATAATAATTGATTATACCGAAGACGCGATCTTTTTTAGGATGCTGCACTGTAAATTTATCTGACTATTATGTACAGATGTATTTGACGTCATAACATGAAAACCGAAGTTTTTAACACAGTTGTGAATATTTTGTGCTTGAAAATTAAACAAAAATGAATAACATTATAATTTGTATTTCAAAAGTTATTTTATCATTTGTTGGATGAAGAATCTTTTAGTTGAAATAAACCTGAATTTGTGATTAACTTATGCAGCTCTTTTTTATTAAAAAATAGCCAAAAATCGTTTATGACATTTTCAGATGTATAAATCACCTTTAAGCAACAGAAGGGACAGAAGCACAGATATATCCAATGTAAAATAAAAAAATAAAGAACTATCGCTAAAAATTGTCTTTCAACTATCATGTTAGTGTGAACGATTGTACCTCTACTGCTATCACTATCCTCTTGCCACTGCTGCGAACCAGGCAAAAGACGACCCATCCGGAAACTTTTTTTCCCAAGATTCTATTACAACACCAGTTTGATATTTATTATTGAAAACGGTTAATGACCAAAATAATTTTTTCATATTTTCAATTTTAGCCTTTGCCGAAAACTTTGATTTTCAAATTCCATCTTTAAAGCTTAATGTCAAAGACTTTAGATAATTGAAACATATATGGTCTGTTAGATCAAAATATTGAAACATATATGGTCTGTTAGATCAAAAAATCTATGTTTACATCGTCAGGTTGCAAAGATATAAGGATTGGAAAATTTGGGATTGCGGAAAAACTCAATTATTTTTCTAGGGATTGAGATTTCACAAAGTTTTAGAATCTTTGTTTCTGCTGTTAAACATTTCAAATATCCTATATGAAGTTGAAAAAATTACTAATTTTAGTTAAATTTACATGTTTTCATGAAAAAATTACTAATTTTAGTTAAATTTACATCAGTTTCATGAAAAAATTACTAATTTTAATTAAATTTACATCAGTTTCATAAAAAAATTACTAATTTTAGTTAAATTTACATCAGTTTCATGAAAAAATTACTAATTTTAGTTAAATTTACATCAGTTTCATAAAAAAATTACTAATTTTAGTTAAATTTACATCAGTTTCATGAAAAAATTACTAATTTTAGTTAAATTTACATCAGTTTCATGAAAAAATTCCTGGAATAAAATACCACCGTTACTATTTTTTCCCAAAGCGAACACTTTTATATATTTAGGTTTAGGAGGATAACATAAACCCATTGATTAATGAAAACTCCGTGTTCCCTTTTGTGTCTCTGATCTGATCATCATGGATTCTAGACCAACAAAATCAAGATCATTCTCATATTGAAGGGTCTGCACCTCCTTCCACAGGGCCTAGAAAGTAATTTTAGTAGAGGTTAGAAATAAATATATATATAAAGAATATTGTTTTAGGAAACTGAAAGGAACTACATCTTGGCCATAAAAAATTGTTCAGCTTTGATTCAAGTTTTACAGGCACATGTTTTAACCTTGTGTTCCCGTTTTCATGAAAATTAAATCCAAACCAAAGATAACAAAGGAAATGAGGGGCAAAAGCTAGAAGATATGGTTTCTACCCTAATAATGTCAGTTGATAAAGGTTCCTACCCTAATAGTGTCGGTTAATAAAGGTTCCTACCCTAATAGTGTCAGTTAATAAAGGTTCCTACCCTAACAGTGCCAGTTAATAATGGTTCCTACCCTAGTAGTGCCAATAAATAAAGGTTCCTGCCCTAAGAGTGTCGGTTAATAAAGGTTCCTACCCTAATAGTTTTAGTAAATAAAGGTTTCTACCCTCATAGTGTCGGTTAGTAAAGGTTCCTCCCCTAATAGTGTCAGTTAATAAAGGTTCCTACACTAATAGTGTCAGTTAATACAGGTTCCTACCCTTATAGTGTCGGTTAATAAAGGTTCCTACCCAAATAGTGTCAGTTAATAAAGGTTCCTACCCTTATAGTGTCGGTTAATACAGGTTCCTACCCTTATAGTGTCGGTTAATAAAGGTTCCTACCCTAATAATGTCAGTTAATAAAGGTTCCTACCCTAAGAGTGTCGGTTAATACAGGTTCCTACCCTAAGAGTGTCAGTTAATAAAGGTTCCTACCCTTATAGTGTCGGTTAATAAAGGTTCCTACCCTAATAGTGTCAGTTAATAAAGGTTCCTACCCTTATAGTGTCGGTTAATAAAGGTTCCTACCCTAATAGTGTCAGTTAGGTTCCTACCCTAATAGTGTCAGGTAATACAGGTTCCTACCCTAAGAGTGTCGGTTAATAATGGTTCCTACCCTAACAGTGTCAGTTAGGTTCCTACCCTAATAGTGTCAGTTAATAAAGGTTCCTACCCTAAGAGTGTCGGTTAATAAAGGTTCCTACCCTAATAGTGACAGTTAGGTTTCTACCCTAATAGTGTCGGTTAATACAGGTTCCTACCCTAAGAGTGTCGGTTAATAAAGGTTCCTACCCTAATGGTGTCAGTTTGTACTTTCCTCAGCTTTCTTTCCTGGTCCAGCGCTGCTCTAGCATTACGTAGCTCCTAAAACAAGAATAAATGAGCCCGGGTAAATCTATTATACTTTGCTTGCCTTTAAATCTTGCATTTCTTTATCAAAAGAAGATCTTTCCAGTACGCATAGAATACTGACTACGCGAAACTCCTCTGGGCTTCTGTCTCATGGTATTTGTAAAACCAAATTTTGAAAAGACGACATCTAGGAGTCCTATCTGTTATTTTAATTAATCTATTGCTTAAACTATCGAACAAAATGTGTGGGAGCAAAATGATAACTTATGCTACACAGCGACATCATTTCCATTTTTTAACATTGCCATGACTCTTAAGTAGCAGCTGAAGTTAAACTCGTTCAATATTTACTGCTAGACAATAGAGAAGATATGTATATAAACCTTGTTCAATATTTACTGCTAGACAATAGAGAAGATATGTATATAAACCTTGTTTAGCTGCTTGACATGTGCTTCAAGTCTCATACTTCGAATCTCATCTTGCATCTCACGAACCTGAAGTTGAAACTGATTTTATTTTTATTTACGTTTTCATTTCGGAAATTTTTTTTCATTCCAATTCTTTTTATTACAACGTTGAATTTTTACGAATTTTATATTGAACATTACCTTCTTTCTTGACATTAGAATTTGATTCTTTTTTGTTTAAAATTTGTTTTTAACTTGAACAGCTATAATATTTTTTTAAATTTGAAATTTTTTTGATTACTTTCAAAGATTAAAGAGAATCTTCAAGTCTCAACTGTCATGTTAGTTTGACATTCTGTACCAATGTATGAATTGAGCTTTTTTTGACTGTCTGTATCTATGAAAGGACTCCACGACTCCAGGGAATGGGATTTTAAATCTATCAATGTTTACAGAAAAACCGTAAAAGTATTACAATTACAAAGAAAAATGGCCGCTTAAAATAAACATTTAAACCTGTGGATCTGAAGTTCTTGTATTGTGCCCTCTCCATCCTGCCTGTATACTTCTAGCCGCAGTGTTTACATTCTCTAGTCCTCCTAGAAGTATATATATATATATATATATATACTTGAAGTGTGAAACATTATGTTTGGTATAATTCTTTTTTAATAAAATGTGAAGTTTAAAAACTAAAATATATATATATATATCTATATATTTCTACGATATAGATATACACCTACCTCAATGTACTCATGAAGATATTTTGATAATTTTGATAATTCACATAACAGTTTCCTATGACCAGAATATTTCATTGATTTTTTAATGTGAAAGATGGATCCCATGTCAGGCTGTGACATACGTTTTGTGTTTACATTACCGCCCAGAAACAGTGCACTTCAGTACAAAAGATGCGTACACCTCTGAAATAACTTTCCTTGCGTTATAACCTTGTATAAACCTACCTCTATGTACTCCTGAAGACAGTGTACTGGATCTGGGTCTGGATATAGATCTATCAGAACGGGAAGTTGGACGATCTGAATAACTTGAACCAACTGCACCACTCCCTGAAAAAGAATGGCAAATGCAAAATTAAAATATGCAAATGCAAAATCTAAATCTGCATTTGAAGCCTTTTGTTACATTGTATACGGTGCAATGTGCATATTATAGATCTTAGAATATTTCTTAGGCGATTAACTATTGGTGGAATCCTAGAATATTACAATCACCCAATCTCTGTGATTGACTCCTATAGTATATTACAATCACAAAATCTCTGTGATTGACTTCTCTGTAATTGTATCCTATAATATACTACAATCACCCAATCTTTGTGATTGACTCCTATAATATAATATAATCATCTAATCTCTGCGATTGACTCCTATAGTATAATATAATCACCTAATCTCTGTAATTGTCTCCAAAATATAAAACAATCACCCAATCTCTGTGATTGACTCCTATAGTATAATATAATCATCTAATCTCTGTGATTGACTCCTATAGTATAATATAATCACCTAATCTCTGTAATTGTATCCTATAATATAATACAATCACCCAATCTCTGTGATTGACTCCTATAATATAATATAATCACCTAATCTCTGTAATTGTCTCCAAAATATAATACAATCACCCAATCTCTGTGATTGACTCCTATAGTATAATATAATCATCTAATCTCTGTAATTGACTCCTATAGTAAAATATAATCACCCAATCTTTGTGATTGACTCCTAATTCAATATCATCACCTAATCTCTGTGATTGACTCCTAGTAAGTGAAGTAGATCTAGGTCTAGAACTACTGCTCCCAACCTGCATAGAACTGGCGCTCTGGCAAAAATACATCTTTTAAAAAAGAATTCAATTTTTTTTATATTTTGAATATTAAATCAGAGTTTATTCAGATCAAAACAAATCAGAGCTTTATTGATGCTCCTACATCTGTCAACAAATTACGCTCTTATAATGTGTAACTTTTGTAACTTTTGTAAAAGAAATAGTGATATAATAGAATTTCAGTACCTAATAACTCATGTGTACACTGTATCCTTATCTTGGTGAAGAAAACGATTAAAAATCGCTTTCTTTTAAAAGAAAGCGACTCAGAACGGACGGTCGCTTAATAACGTATTAAAAGTCTGAAAATTAAAGGATTTTTAATCACTAACTTACGGATTAAAAATCTGTAACTTGGCGAAATAACGGATTATTAATCTGAAGTTTCTCTGACAAACTGTACGCACGGACAATTTATCCGTTATTTCACGAAATAAACGATTTTTAATCTGCGACTTTAAACATTGTTTTTCCAAAGATTAAAAATCACTGACAANCCACTATTATATCCATGTCTTACATGTAAGATCCATGTACAAAATATGATAGGAGGGGGAGGGGGGTGGGTAAAAAAATCGTTTATTAGGAAATTATCAATCAACCTAGATTTTCTAAAAAAAGACTAGATTCAACATGGATTTTCTTAGCAACAAAACAAAAAAAAGCATTAATTGTGCGCAACTCGAATAGATTACATGTATAAATATATAAGTTGGTTATATAAAAAAAACTATTTCTATAATTATATTATTATTACATTTTCAAGTCTGATGAACTGATTTCTCATTCTGTTTTCTGTTTGTGAAATCTTGGTCACAAATATTGTCAGCTGTTGACGTACTTTTAAAGAAAACCAGTTGATAATTTAAAGAAAGGTCAATGAGTACATTATTCTAAACTTTACAGTCTACAGAGTCTACACGTACGGGCACGGCTTAAAATATAATTTAATTATTTACCAGACATCTCGACTCTACGAACTCGACCGACTCGGCATTGACAATACCATAGTAAAATCAGCTGCGTCATCCTTTCAATGATTGATTATTGTGGATGATTTTTTGTCGCAGATTAAAAATCGTTAAATAATGAAATTACTTTTAATCAGTGACAAAAAATCCGTTATTTGAGAAAGTAACGGATTTTTAATCACTGATTTTTTGTCGTTAAATTAGATACTTTTAATACCTTACTTAGAGACAATTTATCGTTAATTTACGGATTTTTTCTCTTTTATATTTTCAGATTTTTAATACGGAAGTAAGCGACAAAAAGTCTGAAACTAAAGGATTATTTGTCGCAGATTATTAACATTTTGATCTTAAGGATACAGTGTACCACTATATTGAATAGTACCAGATAATGTATTGAAATATATGCTAGCCTCTCTTTTATAATTTATACTGACCCCAGTATCTTGGTGATAAAACTTAGTCTTTATTTTTTTTAAGTACATAAAGTCCAGATGTTTTTTCCAAATTGTTTTTCAATATGTGTAAAATAAGTTTAAAATGTGAATTTAAAACCCAATACTGATACAAAGCTAAGCCCCGGCTGCAATAAAAAGGCCTAAAAACCAATACATGAAGATGGGTTAGGATCAGGCTACAGAAAGTTCACACATTATACTTAAAATATAATTTAACACGCTAAATATAACAAATCCTAACTCAAAACATTTATAACTATGACCGTCAAAGAACTGAAACTTTATGAATTTTATGGTGGCAACTTAAAGTGAAACTCCATGTATAAATGGCATTGTTGTGAACTTTGTATCACTTGAAATTACTCTTATAGTCCATTTTATATTACAGTGACAGAGGTGGATATCGAGATCAGTGTTTAATCTCGATTCTTGAACTTTTCTTAATCTACAGATTAATTTAATCTTTGTACGATATTCTGTAAAGTGTGGAAAACGAACAGCTGATCAGAAGCCAAGGAATTTTGCTTTTAGCTTGAATTGAGATAACAGAGAATTTACGGATATCCAAAATCATGAGATCAAGAAGATTCAAGTACCCAATGTGTATATTGAGATCAAGCGATCAGGATTATATAGGTATCAAACATAATTTAGTACCTAGCTCTGTACTCAGGGTTTAGGAAAAACAGAGGATCAGGATTATAGGTATCACACAATTTAGTACCTAGCTCTGTACTCAGGGTTTAGGAAAAACAGAGGATCAGGATTATAGGTATCAAACACAATTTAGTACCTAGCTCTGTACTCAGGGTTTAGGAAAAACAGAGGATCGAGAATAAGCTTGTTTTAGTCGTAATTTAAGTGCACCAACAAAATAATTTGTTTCTTAAAATCATGAATGGCATCTGAGATGCTTAACAGGCCCAATGTCGGTTGTCCGATGTAGTGAAAATTACCTTCCTTAAAAAGGAGTGTTTAAAGTTGAATGATTGCAAAATCTAAAACCAGACTTAATTTTTAAATCTTCATTTTAAACTTAAGGTATAGAAGTAGGGCTTTCCTAAATGTCTGATTTGTTTGTTTTGAATCAAATGAAAGATATAATTTCCTTTGTCATTTGATCTTGATTTATCCTCCTTTGCTCAGCGACTGGTCGTCTTCCGTCAGATCTATTCCAGGATTCTGATCTTCGTCCTTCTACTCGTCCCCTACCTGCTCCACCATCCCCTCTCCTTCCTCCTCCTTCTACTCGTATCCCACCTCCTTCTACTCTTCTTTCTGTTTCAACTCTTCGGTTTCCGGCATCACTTCGCCTTGGTCCTAAATAGGGTTGTTAATTGTTTCTAAAACGACAGAAAAATTTGTAGTTTTTCTTTTCGTTTTTGAAAAACGAAAAACAAAACGACGATTGCTCATATTACTGAAAACTATCGTTAACAATAGTCAAAGTTAAAAAAGGACATTCCTTCGGTAACGAAACGACAAAAATTAAATTTAAAAAAAAATTTCATTATTTTTTCGGTTTTGTCTACGTATATGATCGTTTTTATTTCAGAAAAGTCCAAAACGATCTATTCCTAGTCCTAAACATATTCTTCTTCATGATTGTGTATAGTGAAGCGAGAACAATTTTTTTAAATGTTAAAATGATTATGGATTATTAGTTTTCTTCCAACTAAACTATTTCTTTATAAGTGCTCTTTTTAGAGATATATTACAATGTGGAAGACGATGCCTGGCCGCGTTAAACAAGTTCCACAAGATTCAACAGAATGAGATAGAACGGATACGGGGCATAGTACTGATAAATCATCTACACGTGTGATATCGATTTGACTCTAGTTCTGAACCCTCTTGTAATAAGTTATAAGAAATATATATACTGGAAGTTATTTATGCATTTTTATTAGAATCTGACTCACGTCCTCTATAACAACATCTTTTGAGATTTTTATTCAGTAAAAGAAAAAACAAAGAAAGATTTATATTTAGTTTTTTCTCTATCTTACATTTCTCTTGGTCTTAAATAAATTATTGTATATATTAAAATTTGGACTTTTATTATCTATGTTTATTGCTTTCCAACTGTCAATGCAGGATGCTCTTGTTTAATTTTGGGACATATTGTAGAAAAAAAAGAAAAAAGAAATTAAAATGTTTTCCCATATATCTGCTCTCAGGGTAAAAGGAAAGTTAATGTTATAAAGAAAATGTATGATTAATTGTTTCCTTCTGTATTACAAAAAAGTTTTATTCAAGTGTTTTTTTTAAACTGTTCTGTCTCTGTCTACTGTCTACTGCCCGTGGCCTGCACGTTTAAAAAAAATTAAGCTGAATTATATTTAATTAACCTGCATTTCTCCCCTTGGCATCTTTTCCAGGCTCTTGGTTTGTTCTCCTAAAATATATATATAGTTTAACGCAGAACTTCGGAGACATCGAAAGACTTGATATAATGTCGTTTTCTAAACCTACTGATAAAGGAACACCGCAGATATTTAGTTTTTTAATTGAATAATTATTTGTAGCTCTTTTAAACTTTTCCGCATATTTCATAGTTATTTATTTACTTTCACTGAAATAAAATTCTTTTAATATCTCCGAAGATTGTATAGAACTACCAATATTTAAAAAAAATCTAAATAAATAATCGAACAATCTAAGTTGATATTCATTTTCGGAAAAGATTCCATAAATACAGTGAGACCCAAAAGAAAGTGGAATCTTTGTTATCTTTCACTTCCAAATGTCGCTAAAGATTTTGTAAATTGCAATTGGATTATTTATATTTAAGTACACGTTTAGAAATATATCAGTTGCACCAATTGCAAAATTATTTCTTAAGCAGAAGGAAGAACAAAGCCAGCATTTATTACAATGTACAAATTGATAACCAAGGAGTTTTTGATTTGTTACTACAGGGATACCCACAAAGGATGAGACTTCAGTGAGACGACTGTATGGAACTAATACAGTCTGTTTACATTCATGATTCCCTGCGACTGTAAACTTGTTTCTTTCTTTGCTTTAAATAACTATTCAAAGGCTATATTTAAGGCAGAAGACTAGATTTAACCTTGAAGAGTTTTAGGTCGTCTTTACAGTCTCAACCTTTGTGGGTAACCCTGTATAATATATGCAAAGTATGCAGTGAGCTAATATCAAAGTATATTTATTAGTTATCACTGTACAATAGAAATAACGTAATTTTAGGTTAGATTTACCTTGGACGGAGTTTGTTTGAAGTTTCACTATTATGCACTCTACACAAATAATATTATTAATATATAATATATAATATATGCATTACTATAGTTCAAGTGACCGGTGTTGCAGTAGAATTTTAAAAACAGTTCGGAATTTTGAAAACATTGGCGAATGGGTTTCCTAAAAAAAATGTCAGACAATTTGATCCAGCTGATTTGCTAGCTATAGCTAACTATATGAGCGACGAGCTTTACTATTTAGATATGCAAATAAAAGGAAAAGTTTAAAAACATGGGGATTGGGGATTATGTGGGAAAACTAGAAAATTCTTAAAGGGACTGTAAGCGTATAATTTCAAGTGACCCATAAAGTTAGAATGGCAATGCCAGATTCACAACAATATCTTTAAAAGCTTATGATCAAGTATGAATTACATATTAATGTTTATAATTTTTAAACTTGGTTATTTTTAGTTTTGGTTTCACCAAAAAAAGGACTTAAATATTTCTACTGCAGGAAAACATATAGAAATTATCAGAATTAAACAATTTTAAACTTTAAAAAGCGACAATATCTTCCATATTATCGATTATATGAAGGTGTCAAGTGTGCCGTTGAATTACATTTAAACAACAATTTTACAAAGAAAAAAATCAAAAAATTAACATATTTTATCCTGGAACAATGCACTTTTTCCCCGCACTTTTTTTCTTCTTTTGATGACATTTGATAAATAAAAGATGTAGCTTTCTCATTAGTGTCGATTATTATAAAATACTTGCATTTAATACAGGTAAAGAAGTTCTACTAATAAAACTTAAATCCCCAATTAACTATATAATAAAACAAGACATTCATATAATGTTCCCAAACGACGAAACGGCTGAACCGAATGGGCTGATATTTTTTTTGATACTCATGGGTAGTGACATAGGCTTAAAAATTCAAAAAAATATTTCCACGGGCAACGCCGGGCCCGTCAGCTTGTTGTAAATAAAATTGAAAACCAATCTTTTAATTAATCCAAATAAATTATTGCAGTTGCAAATTGCAATCAATAAAAAACATAAATTTATCAACAATGATAATTTAATTCAACACTAAACTAAAGCAAAAGCTAAAATCAGAATGTTTAAGATGGGTAAATGGGGGGGGGGGGGGAAAAACTAAATAAGATCATTCCTTGATTCTGTTTCTGTGTCAGAAGCCTCGTCATCTGCTAGTGAGAGAGGCTGGGCAGAATTACGTTTCCTAAACAAACACATTGAACACATTATACTTTTATGCGAACTTTAAAAGAAACTGTAGTCAAAATATTGTAGAGTTGCTTGGTGGCATTTTGTTTAATTGAGATAAACTACAACATTTCTTCACTTTTACTCAGATAAAGGTTTGGACATTTTAGACCAATAATAATATTAATATCAGATTTAGTAAAATACATCTGTTTAAACTGCTAAATATATTAAAAATAGTATTCTTTGTATGAACCCTTTAATTGAATTTTAATTTAAGAAATGATATGTTTTCTACAATTTATAGAAATCAACTAAAAACGATTTAATGATAATTTACACCTATAAAAACGAGTAATAAGACTGTTGTCAAATCTAAATTTGTTGGTTTACTTTATTTTATTTTATTCAAACCAAAAATCAGGTTAAAAACTTTTTCTGCTAAAAATGAATATTGTAAAACTTAAAACAGTCTAATCTTAATGAAATCTTTAAAGAAATGGGAGTTTTATCTAATTTATTGGGTTTTAAGATTTAGCCAATTCAAGAATCAGTTCAATGTTCAATGTTCATTATCACCTCCGGTTTAAATGGTATGAAGAGTGTCTCAAAAACTTATTTATAATTTTTTTACATTATATCATTTAAAGGGACTGTTCACGTAATGCAAAGATGGTAATACCCGATATACTTTAAAGCTGAGTCTGATAGAGTGTGAATTAAACATCAATGTTTATAATTTGAAAATCTAATTATTTTCAATTGAGATTTTTCTACAAAAGTGACTTGCGCATTTCTAGTGCAGAAAATTAAGAAGAATTATCAAAATTAAACCCTTTTAACTATACATAAGAAAATATCTTCCACATTTTTGGTTAGAAGGATTCAGGGGTACCGCTGTGAATCGGGTATTGTCATGTTAAACTGCAGGTTCCTTAAATGACATAATTTGAAATAAACTAGTAAATTGATGTTCAAACAGGACACACTTCATACCATTAACCGGAGAGGATAATATACAGTTTCCCCCCCCCCCCCACCTAATTTAAATGAAATGTGTTCAGATGATTATTCTTGAAAATGTATCCCTGCTTTCTTCTACTGTTAATTAGTTAACAACATTTTCTACCTGGAGGGTTCAGGGGTAGGAGCAGTGGTCGCAGATCCTGATTTCAGGGCTGCTACTTGTCTGTTGGGTAAACTACTCTTTCTGTTTAATGTTTAATAAAACTTTTTTATTGGGTAAACTTCTCTTGATGTTTAATAAAACTTGTTCATTGGGTAAACTACTCTTGATGTTTAATAAAACATGTTTATTGGGTAAACTACTCTTGATATTTAATATAAACTTGTTGGTTGGGTAAACTACTCTTTCTGTTTAATAAAACATGTTTGTTGGGTAAACTACTCTATCTGTTTAATAAAACATGTTTATTGGGTAAACTGCTCTTGATATTTAATATAAACTTGTTTGTTGGGTAAACTACTCTATCTGTTGAATAAAACTTGTTTGTTGGGTAAACTATTCTTGATATTTAATATAAACTTGTCTATTGGGTAAACTACTAGAGTCTTTTTAATAAAACTTTATCATTTTTTTATTTCAAAGTTTGACTTTTTGATCTAACAGATATCATACTTTTGAATAAAAAAGGTTAAGAACATTAGGCTGCAAAGAAAAAAGGATTTTAATTTTTAACAAATAATTAGTGCCTTTAATTCAGAGGCCGAATTTAAATTTAAGTCGTGGCTCATATATGGTTGGTTCCACTTAAATACGGTTCAAGCCGGCGCTCAATTGAAACCGGTTTTGGGGGATTTGAGACGCGGCTTAAATTCATTAAATTGGGACACATGATCAGATTTAAACTTCTTTTTTTTCAATTGGCTGGGAGGACCTTTAAAGAGATGAAGGATGAAAAAGACACAGAAGCTTGAACCCGGGAGAAAATGGAGGTCTATTCCATTCATAGCACACTCTGGTTTTTTTTCTAAAAATGAATGTCATTCATCTTACGTTAAACTGAAGAAGATTTCATGTTAGATTGAAATTTTACATATTTGCAATCATTGCTCTCCTTTGTATTGAACATAAAAAAGATGATAATTTTAAAAAAAACTGCTTTTCTACAACTTCGGCGGCGTAAATCTAGAGTTAGAGCAGTTACGAGGTCTTAAAGTCGTAATTAATATCGCATAAAGGATTATCAGGAATTGAGTCTTAGTCAAAAACTCAAATTTTCTTATCACCATATCTTTGCAACCTGATAATGTAAACCTTGGGTGTTAAAAATTAGATTATTTGATCTAACAGAATTCATAGTAGTATTAAATATCTAACGTCCAAGACAAAGGATTCAAGTTTTTGTCAAACTTGAATCCTTCAAGTGTCGTTATCTTTTGTCTCTAGTTGCAGTGTTAGTTAGGTTTTTGAAGGTGTTAAGTACTTTCTTAAAGGCATGTTTCCAAGAGTGACTTCCCAAGTGGCAACTTCCCAAAGGTTAGGTTAGGCCCTCTGAGGCACCTCTCGCTGCAATTGGGGGGCCATGCGCTGCGGCTAGGATGGGCTATGGGGCCGAGCACTGCAACTAGAATAGGCTAAGAGGTCTAGTGCTGCGGTAAGGACATACTTGTTGTTGCCACTTGGGAAATTGCCACTTGGGAAAATACCCTTGGAAAGTTGCCGCTTGGGAAAGGCTTCTGGGAAAGTACAGCATCTTATTGAAGAGCTAGACCAAGTTTCCAATAAGTTAGTTTTATTTTCCTGGCAGGACCAGCAGACTGAGATCTAGGACGAGGAGCAGGGTCAAGGCTAGACCCAGAGTCACGGAGCTCAGGGATACGGGACTTAGATTCCGGGATCCGGGGACTTGACTGAGCATCAAGCATCCGGGGACTAGACTGAGGATCAAAGTTTCTTGAATTAGATCTAGGAATTGGTGTTCTCCCGGGTCCAGTTCTATTCAGTCCACTGTCCACCTGAGAACAAAAAAATCAATAACGTAAAAAGTAAAATAAAAATAGCTGTTCTTAATATATTCAGCTATGTAAAAAAATTGTGGTTGTTTTTAAACGTCGCACTACCTATACAACTTGAAGATATTCATTCGACGATATTATAAATATTATAATAATAAGTAAAATAATAATAATTATAAATATTTTCAAAACAACATTAAAATTGTGTTAATGTTAAAGTTGTGTACGTACCTTACTGGTCACATTACTAGGTTTAACCGCACTAGTCGGCCGGGTCATCACAGATGTCGTCTTTGTTGATGTTCGAGCTGTCATGGCGGCGACCATGAGCTCACTTGGCCGCGGAGAGGTTTGTATTGAAAGAGGAGAAAGGGTACTGGAGTGCACCAACGGGGAAATGGCAGTCTGAAAAGGGGTTTCTTTTTAATTTAAAAATGTAATCTTAAATTAGATCTAAAATATTCAAATATTGATATACAGTATACACCTTAAATTAAATCTTAAATATTCAAATATTGATATGCAGTATACACCTGAAAAAGAATTAATGTAATTATTTACAAATCAAAAAAAAAATATCACCATGTTAATTATTTTAAATAACCTTTCAGCTAAGCTTAATAGGCTTTTTGTCACATGATGAAATATTATCCTATTAAAGGGACTGTAAGCGTAATTTCAAGTAATCCTCGATGCAAAGATGACAATGTCCAATTAACAAGGGTACCCTTAATAGCTTTGTCTGATTAAGAATGGATGAGATATCAATGTTTATAATTTAGAAAAGTAATTAATTCTGCAGTACAAAAATACAGGATATATCAGAAATAAACATTTTTAAAACAAGAAAAATGACAATATCTTCCACGTCAAATAAGGTTTCAAGGGTGCCATTGTAAATCGGACATTGCCATCATTGCATGGAGGGTTACTTGAAATAACGCTTACAGTCCCTTTAACCTGAATAAAGTTTCTGTCCCCAAGGATTCATTAGTTAAACTTAAAACCAAGACCTCAAGTCTAACAAAGAATCTCAGAATAGTCTGAGTAAAGAATCCAGCATAATTCCAACAGTTTTGCATACAACTTTAATTTTTAATCAAACTATGTTATGTGTGTGTAAAATTGTTCAAGACAACTTAATATATTTACATAATATTTTGTTCTTTTCATTTAAACTTATAGCTTCTGTAGGTTGCTGGCTAATAAACCATTAAGATGTTATTTATAGGTTCGTACGTTGCCAAACATTACTTTTGTCCGGCCAAATTTAAAGACTTGGCCGACTTTGAAGTGTCGCAACGCCCTGGCCTTTGATTTTACCTTTCTAACTCACTTATACTACTTTTTTGACGCCTGTAGACATGTTTTAAGAACTATAAAGTACTCCCTTTTGAGCTTTGGCTTTAAGAAGTCATTTGCAAAATTATGAACAATTTTTGCGTTGGAGCTTGCAACCTTCGGATCACTTTGGTGTTGCCGCATTGCACAAATCGAGAACAGAATATCATATTTCCAAAATTTGTTTTTTGTATATTGTAAACCTCTAAAAGTCAGGATTACCTTCTGGTTTTCATTAAACCCGTTCTTAGAAGCACTTAGTCGTAGTTCCAGCTCATGGGGCTCATTACTGTCAACAAACAAAACATTTTTATTCTTATCTAGAGTAAGTGTTGCTAAAGTAAAATGGGTTCTAAGTAAGACTGAGCCGAACTAGCAATTTTAATGTCAAGATAAATAATTTTTAAAAATCCGCCGATTCAAGCAGAAAAGTCCACAAATTTTTTTGTGTAGAATGAAGGAAAATTGTGTCCTGACCTGAGGACCAAAAACTAAAAGTTAAAATTGTTATTGAAAAGCTGCAGATAAAACGTCGTAAAAAGGTTTATAGATATAAATTCGGCCTGTTTGTTTGTATTCTATTAACAACAGAACGGCTGAACCGTTTATTTATTTATATATACATACATACACCCTAATATATAAAAGAGCGAAGAGCTTTATCATATAGATATACAGATATATTGCTCTGACAATTATTATCATTAAGGATTGTTTCTTCTAAAATATTATGGTTTCCTGAGGGGTCCAGAGTGCAGAGGATCATCTCTTCTAGGAGGAGACGGACCTTCACAAAAGTATGGATTCAACATTAAGGGTTTCCATATATTCTTTAAAAAATATCTAACCCTCTGCCCCTTCCCTTGCCTTTTCCTAACTTTCTAAGAGAAAGAATACGAGATTTATTGGAAAATAAATGGTTTTTAAATTTATACCAACAATGTTTTTTTTTTAAAGAATGTTCAAATAGATAAATGTTTTTAAGAAGAATTTACCAAAAAGTGAGACAAACTTGTAAAAACTTGCATGTTTTGCTCTCCAGAAATTCTTAAAAAATATTTGTTCTACTCTTCATGATAGACGAGTAAATAACATCGATAAAAATATGTGTAGGAGAAAAAAACTGTATAGATTTCAACAACAAATAATTAGGTCTTAAAGGAAATGAGTCACAAAACAAACTCAGATTTTCAAATCCCATTATCTTTGCAACCTAATGTGATATTTCATTCTGATTTTTCGATCCAACGAAATTAGTTTGAAACATCTGGTCTACGACATTGGGTTGCAAAGATTTAGAGATTTAAATATCAGATTTGTGGCGAATACCTGGGACTATATCAGGACTATTCAAGGATTCTGGTACTGGATTAAGCCTGGACTGTAGTCTAGTATACCCTGAGACTATGATACTGGATTCTCCATCAGATACATCTTGTAGTTCCAGGTAATCATCAGACCTTGAAAAATATCTATCTATATAAATCTACTTTGCTTGTCTGTTTGGTTGAAACCGATAAACTTAGAAATTCTGGAGAGGGAATGCAGTATTTAATGGAGGTAGGAATTTTGGAGAGGGAATGCAGTATATAATGGAGGTAGGAATTTTGGAGAGGGAATGCAGTATATATTGGAGGTAGGAATTTTGGAGAGGGAATGCAGTATATAATTGAGGTAGGAATTCTGGAGAGAGAATGTATTCTATAATGGAGGTAGGAATTTTGCAGAGGGAATGCAGAATATAATTGAGGTATGAATTTTGGAGAGGGAATGCAGTATATAATTAAGGTAGGAATTTTGGAGAGGGGATGCAGTATATAATTGAGGTAGGAATTTTGGAGAGGGAATGCAGTGAATAATTGAGGTAGGAATTCTGGAGAGGGAATGTAGTATATAATGGAGGTAGGAATTTTGGAGAGGGAATGCAGAATATAATTGAGGTAGGAATTTTGTAGGGGGAATGCAATATATAATTGAGGTAGGAATTTTGGAGAGGGAATGCTGAATGTAATTGAGGTAGGAATTTTGGAGAGGGAATGCAGAATATAATTGAGGTAGGAATTTTGGAGAGGGAATGCAGAATATAATTGAGGTAGGAATTTTGGAGGGGGAATGCAGAATATAATTGAAGTAGGAATTTTGGAGGGGAAATACAGTATATAATTGAGGTAGGAATTTTGGAGAGGGAATGCAGAATATAATTGAGGTAGGAATTTTGGAGGGGGAATGCAGTATATAATTGAGGTAGAAATTTTGGAGGGGAAATGCAGAATATAATTGAGTTAGTAATTCTGGAGAGGGAATTTAGTATGCAATGGAGGTATAGCACTTCTGAAAGTGGGATTTAGTATATGTGGGGAGGGATTAAATATAATGTGGAGGGGGGAATGAAGTATATGAAGAGGGGAATTTAAAGAATGTTCTCTGAAGCCTGTATTTGAGATTGGGGAATTCTGAGTAAAACTAAAATATACTTTACAGCAGTATAGTAACTTAGCATGCTAGAAAACACAGAAGGGAAAACATATTTTTTTTTCTTTTGTCAAAAATAGAAATGAGATCAGAAGGTAAATAAAGGCAAATTAAGAAAAAAAAATGAGCCAAAACTAGTTTGTTCCATAAACCTCTTATATATACCAAATAAGGCTTGGCCGCTTAAGAATTCTCTAAGCTGTTTAAATGTTATGTTTTAATTAAGAATTTCGACCGAAACCCTGCTATTTCAACTATATCAAGGTTTTAGCGTGCTGCCGACGACGCCCCAAAATATTTTTATATGGCTGTTAGAATCTATTCATATATCTAAATTATCCCGAAACCGCTGTGCTTTCTTGTACTTATGCTTTAAAATATATGTTTTTTTCCGAAATAGCTTGCTATAACGAAGACGACATCTAAATATATTGCAGGTTTACAGGATCCATTCCAGGATAAATATATGAACGGGAAAAGTAATTATAAATTAACACCATAAATTCTCACTATGAAACACAAGTATTTTAAGAGGATTATTGACTATTGTGACAAAAAACAGTCACCCCCCTGACCCCCTAAAANACTTACACTATTTATCAATATTAAAACTAAATCAAAATTAATAAATGGATAACATTAGCCTTCTTTCCGCAGTATTAATAACTATTTTTGTTATCTATAACTTGAGGTTAGCAAGATTTCTGAAGAGGATGAAAATAATACTTTAAATTTTAGAATAGAAATTCACATAAAAAATAGAAGAACAAAATATTTAAAAAGTTTCTCTGCAAAGTCATTATCAATATCAATTACAAAATATATTACTTTTCGTTTAATACAGAGTGTCCAACGAAAATGGCAGTTAAGAGAAAATTTGAAGGTTGTTATAGCTAATTTAAAAATAATTTGCGGCATGAATTTTAATAGGAAAATTCTTTATTTCCAAAAACTTTTCTTGGTGATTACCGCCAAAGTATGATTACCTAATTCCGCTGTCGGTACTCCGCTGTGAGAAAAGAGTTCTGGGTCTCGTAGCTGTATTAATTCCTCCACCCAAGCCATATCTGGAATAAAATTAATTGAGGCTAAATTGCAAAAACTCTGATTTTCTAATCCCTATATCTTTACAACCTGATGGTGAAAACCTATATCTTTAACCTAATGGTGTAAACCTTTGTTATTTCAAACTTTGATTTAACACAATTTACAGTTTGAACTATCTAAGGAATATCGACATTAGGTTGCAAATATATAGAGGTTATAAAATCAGAGTTTGTTGCAATGACTCGATTTCTTACACAACTTCGCACCTTTGTTTACAATTCATTTTTTAATGCACAAATGCTATGTTAAATAATCGTAATAATGGTACAGCTACAGAGAAAAGTAAAACATGATTAAAGGTACTATCTTTTCGATTTTAAATTTAAATAATATTACTCTTAATTTGCGGTCTTCTATATATTAATTTGGCTTGTCTGTCTATTTGTTTGTATCCAATAAACGTCAAAACTGCCCAACCGATCGGGCCCAAATTTTGTGTGGGACCTCACGTGAACCCAGGGAAGGTTTCTGAATGATAAAAATTTTAAAAATTTGTATTTAAAAATTAAAATTTTTGCAAAATTTTGAAAATGCGCGAAAAAATATGATATCCGCAAACTTCTTTTTGTTTTTGTTTTATACTGTAAAGAGATGATGCTCACAGATAAAGTCACAATTAAAAGTTGAAATAGAATATAGGGGGCGCAAAGCGCCTTAAAAGCCTAGTCTATTTATAAATTTGGTTTGTCTGTCTATTTGTCTGTCTGTTTGTTTGTATCCAATAAACGTCAAAACATCTGAACCTATCGGGCCCAAATTTTTTTGTGGGACATCACGTGACTACAGGGAAGGTTTATGAATGATACAAATTTAAAAAAATGTGTTTTAAAGGTTTTTAATTTTGTAAAAAATTTAAATTCTTGAAAATCCGCAAAGCGCCCTAAAAGCCTAGTATATATATACTTTGCATGGGTGTCTGTTTGTTTGTATCCAATGAACATGAAAACGGCTGAACCGATCGTGCCCAAATTTTGTGCAGGACCTCGCGTGATGCCAGAGAAGGTTTGTGAATAATAAACATAAAAAAATTGTATTTCAAAATATACTTTTTAATCATTTTGAAGAGTTTTTTGAGTTTCCATGCTTCTAAAAATATTTAAAATCTGCTTTTTACATCTGAAATTAGAATGCATTTTTATCAAAAAATGAGGGCACTACATGTCCCCTTCTGATAAATCCCCCCCCCCCTTCTCTTCCCGTCCTATCAAATCTACATCAACACCTATGATCTGTTTGGATGGAATAAGGATAACTATTTAAATATTAAAATATATTTCCTCCAATTCCGCAATAGATTTTATTCCCATCGAGCAATTTTCTTTCACGGAAAACTTTTCCAAGAGAATTTGAACAAAAGTTTAGTTTAAACTTTCAGCATGTTTTATAAACAAGGATTTTCGTTGCAAAGTTTTCAAATAATTTGAGATAATTACAATAATTTTGTCTGTTAAATGTTTTAATTTGTAAACTTTGAATTTTTATTATAATAAACTGTCAGTGGTTAAAAAGAATGAGTATTTTTAATTTTTTAAATTTTTTTATGTAGTGTGTCCAAGAAAAGCGGGTGCTAAGGGGTTTTAGAGTCCTTTAAAGTTGTAATGCATCACTAAGTCCTAAATTAATTAAAATTAATTAATTTATAAAATTCTACACGCGACTTAATTCAATTTGCCTAGAAAAAGTAAAAGGAGTATTTTGCAATTAGCCCGATGACGAGGTATTAACTTACCTTTGATTAAGGTTAGTCCGAAGCATATTGGCATCTACACTTTGTGACATCAAATCAGATTCTAGCAAAACAAAATGTACAAAAAGCAAATATAACGAAAAATTAACAATTGAACATACAAGCGAAAATATTCCAAAATAAGACAATTAGAACTATCAAATTATTTAACCGAACTCTCTTTTATCATTCTTTAAGATAAAAATAAATCTGAAAAAAACAATGATCAAAGCTAATTTGACATTCCAAACTACACTTACTAAACTTCCTAAACTACCTAAACTTCCTAAACTTCCTAAACTACATAATCTTCATTAACTACCTAATCTACCTAAACTACCTAAATTTCCTAAACTTTCTAAACTTCCTAAACTACCTAAACTACCTAAACTATCTAAATTACCTAATCTACCTAAACTACCTAATCTACCTAAACTCCCTAAACTTCCTAAACTTCCTAAACTTTCTAAACTTCCTAAACTACCTAAACTTCCTAAACTACCTAAACTACCTAAACCATCTAAATTACCTAAACTACCTAAACTACATAAACTACCTAATCTACCTAAACTACCTAAACTACCTAAACAACCTAAACTACCTAAAAAATCTAATCTACCTAAACAACCTAAACAACCAAAACTACCTAAACTTCCTAAACTTCCTAAACTTTCTAAACTTCCTAAACAACCTAAACTACCTGAACTACCTGATATACTTGAAGTATTATCTAATCTCTGAATAAGTGCCGAAGGATCCATGGATTGTGTCATCAGGTCATTCCCATTCATTACGTCATTCATGTCTTCTCCATAAAGGGTTGGAGGTAGCTCCAGGTTATACTAGAATACAAGGTTGGAGGTAGCTTCCGGTTATACTAGATAATACAGGGTTGGAGGTAGCTCCAGGTTAAACTTTGAATACAGGGTTGGAGGTAGCTTCAGGTTATACTAGAATACAGGGTTAGAGGTAGCTCAAGGTTATACTAGATAATACAAGGTCGGAGGTAACTCCAGGTTATACTAGAATTACTAGAATACAGGGTTGGAGGTAGCTCCAGGTTATACTAGAATTACTAGAATACAGGGTTGGAGGTAGCTCCAGGTTATACTAGAACACAAGGTTAGAGTTAACTCCAGGTTATACTAAAATACAAGGGTTGGAGGTAGATTCAGGTTATACTAGAATACAAGGTTAGAGTTAGCTCCAGGTTATACCAGAATGCAAGGTTGGAGTTAGCTCCAGGTTATACTAGAATACAAGGTTGGAGGTAGCTCCAGGTTATACTAGAATGCAAGGTTGGAGTTAGCTCCAGGTTATACTAGAATACAGGATGGGAGGTAGCTCCAGGTTATACTAGCATACAAGGTTGGAGTTAGCTCTAGGTTATACTAGAATGCAAGGTTGGAGTTAGCTCCAGGTTATACTAGAATGCAAGGTTGGAATTAGCTCCAGGTTATACTACAGGGTGTCCCCTATCAATTCGCACAATTAAAGAGATCACTTTCCATCAAAGAGGATATTTTAGAAGATGCCCTTACAATATCTAAGATGCCCTGAAAATATCTAATCTGGAGTTCAGTTGGTAAAAAAAGTTACTGTTGAAACAATGGCGTCCGAATTAAGATTTACCTTCGTAAAAAGAACTTTTATAAACTACATGTTCATCAAATTTTCGCATGTTAAAGTGACTCAAAGGGTCCAGATGATTCAGCAAATGTTCGCTAGTAAATTTCCTTCTAGATGAATCATGTTTGATATTAGAGAAATATCTGGCGCATGGTTCCTTGGCAAATCGTGGAAAAGGTTCAGGGGCTGGGCCCAAAATATCAGTGAAAACTCCTGAAAATTTGCAAAAAGTGAAAATTGCAGTCGAGCAAGACTGAAAGAAGCCCTATGACCAGATTGCAAATTCAGCCAGACGAAACAAACTAAAGGAATTGATTTTTTGGAACAAAATCAAATATTTGAACCTCAATATCTTTAGAACTCGATGTTGTAAACCTTTGATATTTCAAACTCAGATTATTTGATCTACCAGAATTCATAATTTGAAATATCTAAGGTCTGCAACATTTGGTTCCGAAGATATTGTGATTAGAAAATCAGAGTTTGTGGCAAAGACTCAATTCCTTTGTCTCGGACATATTGGAGTAGATCTGTTAAGGATTTGGGCTTGAACTGTTACAGGTAAATATATAAATTTAATGCTGTGGACGCCTTAACCCCACCCCCTCACAAACAATGATAAAATATGGTCNGGGGTTAACCTTTGAAATCACTTTCTTTATAAGAATAATAGACTTAAGTTGAAAATTTATATTTTTTTGTACAACTCTCTCTGACTTAGAGCAACGACTGTAAAAATAAGTTATCATAGGTGTGCTTTGCTTTCCAAGCATTGAAAATAATCTTAAAAGGAACGTCAAATTAATTTCTTCACGTCACCCTTCAGTGTATATAGTGTGTCATGTCCGGTTCACAACGGTACCGGCTGAAAAGGTTTGTCCGATCAAGTATAAAACATTTATAAATGTTTTTGTTTCAGAAAATGTTAAACACAATTCCAAAAATATTAGAATATCTTAGGAAAAGGATTTAAACTTTGACATCATAGGAATTCTAAAATATATTTAAGGTTTTCCTTTCAATTTATGAATCTGAACCAGACTGTTCCTTCATATTTAAATTCTGTCAAAACTCTGAATGTTATTTTCTTCTTTTCAATTCATTCTTTTATATTTCTCCTTCATTCAACCTGTAAGTCTGAAACTTCAAAAACCCTAGCAAAAGTACCCCTAGGTTGGAGTTATAACCTCGTTTTTATCTCGCTCCATACACAAATACAAAAACAAATACTTGCGACGCCACAAAATCACTATGACTTCTTGAATGTACGCAATATTGCGGAGTTACAGGATCCATCAATGGATAAATATATGCAAGGGAAAAGTAATTATAAATTGAAATCTTTATAAATCTATGCAAGTACAATTGATACAATGTTTGTGAATGAAAAGATTTTAGAATACTTATAAATTGGCCATTCTCATCATGAAACACAAAGCATTTACATTTTAAAAGGAAGATTGTGACAAAAACCAGTCATCCCCCCCCAACCCCCTGATGGTGGGTGGTAACACTATTAAAATTACCTGGGACGGAGTTATAATTTCGTTTTTACGAAGTGGGCCAGGAGAATTACGGAGTCTGTTGTACCTACAGATATATTCGAGATAATTCCTGATAATTAGAGATATTTAGAGATATTAAGAGATAATTAGAGATCATTAGAGATAATTAGAGATAATTAGAGATAACTCTTATAATTGGAGATAATTAGAGATAATTCTTAATCAGAGAAAGTTAGAGATAATTGTTTTACTGAAATAACGATTTTTTAAGAAAAGATTTTACTGAACAATCGTTCGGTGAGAAAACGAACGAAATAGATGGATTGTAAAATGAACGATATTTTTCGAGAACGTACGAAATCAATTTTTTTTGAACGATTGACAAAAAGAACAAAATGAACGTTCATGATTATGAAAAAAAATATTAAATAAAAACGAAATAAAAAAGTCGAACGCGCCCATTTCTTTATCATGTATGTATGATAATATATAAATAAAATTGTTAACATAAAACTGAAATAAATCTTGTATTACCTAGAATTTCGTATTCCCGTAGAATTTCTTCTCGACAAACCTAGAACAGACAAGAATATTCACTTTTAAATGTGGTTCTTCAAGGGGCTTTTTTTTTGTAAAACTCAAATTTTTGCATATTTATCTGTAAACATTGTAAATTGGATAAATGCAGATAGACAATTTATATATTGATTGTTTTGACAGAACATTTTGTGATAATCAGGAGACTAGAGTATAGGAAGTCGGCTTTTAAACTCAAGTAATGACTTAAAATAGTCCAATGAACATGAAACACAGCAATTGTGCATTGTAAACAGACCCGTTTCACTAATAAGTGATTATAATAACTATAAGATATTTGCTTTTTAGCAACATCAATGCACTTCTGAATTGCTTTAATGTCGTCTTCCTATTCTAGAGCTTTCTGGTTCACTTTACTATTGTATGTTTCTGTACCTGGAGTATTTACTGGAGTACTAAGAGTTGAGGACGGATTTGATGAATACCCTAAACTCCCAAACTGTCCTTCTCCTGTTTACAAATTAATTTAATAATTATTATTCCAAAAATCAATTGTTATATAAAAACAATATGCAAAGAGCAATGCCATTTGTTCAACAAAACAATACATGCAAAGGAATTGAGTCTTTGGAACAAAATCAAATATTTAAACCCCAATATCTTTAGAACCCGATGGTGTAAACCTTTGATATTTTAAACTCAGATTATTTGATTTAACATAATTCATAGTTTAAAAGGTCTCCAACATTTGTTTCCAAAGATAAAGTGATTATAAAATCAGAGTTTGTGGCAAAAACTCAATTTCTTTATAGTAATTGTCAAAACTTCTGCACAAATTAAACGATGATGAGGTTGGGGTTACATCAGACAAGAACTTAAGTTTGCACATTTCTTTTCCTTCCAAAAAGCAAGTTCTATGACCGCAACAAATATTTAAAAAAAATATATATTTCTGCATNTCTATCCTGTATCCCCCCCCCATGGAATGGACTGATAAGGATCTCTACCTTGGGGTGTAGGTGTAGGTTGACCATCACCATTGACTGGTAGAGGTAGAACACCAGAACCTGAACAATATGAAACAATCTTCATTTTTTAACAGAAATATATCTAAGGAATTGAGTCTTTGCCACAAACTCTGATTATCTAATCTATATTTCTTTGCAACCCAATGTCGTAGACTTTAGATATTTCAAGTTTAGATTATTAGATTCATTGTTTGAAATATCTACCTGGGGTTCATTAGGTTCACCTCAAATAAAAGTGTATCTGACATGTTAACTCTTTAAATTGAGGGTCGCAAAAGCTTTATATTCGTTGGAAAAATGTCTGATAATTAAATGCCCAAAATATTTAAGAATATTGTTCTACATCTTTCTGTGGAAAATTCCGACTGCGGAAGACTAAGAAAATTGATTAATAAATCAGATTTGGCTAACAGGGCAGAACCAAACCAAACAAAACCCAAAATGCATCAATTTTATCTCAGATTACAGACTATTTATGCATAATACTGACTGGGGAACCCAGCTTTGCCTAACATTTTTCCAAGAAAAAGTCGACGCACTCAACTTAGAATTTTTAAGCAAGGCTAAGCATATTTCTAACGAGTTAGCCAATCAAAATTTAAGGCAAATCGGTCAAGGTGTTTATGAGTTATAATCGGGGATCCAAACAGACAAAAAAAGATTACTATATACTATATAAATAGTAGATACAACATAATACAGTTTTGTAATCTTGGAAGTGTTATAAAACCAAAAAACCCCCTGTCCATAACGATGAACAAGACTATTTGAATGTTTACCTGAATGCCTACGAGGAGTTGAGGGTGTGCTTCTTCTCCCATCAGCAGATACTGATCTAAACAAGTAAATTTAGAACAAGTGAGCAAGAGATCCTAATACCTGCAGGTATGATATCTTGTAGTTTAAATTGCCCAACTTGTCCCTACATAAAGCCTGAAACACTTATACAATCCTCTAATACCAGCAAGAAGTTTGAGATTAATGGAACTTTCAACTGTAAGACCAGAAATGTAGTTTACTGTATTACATGTGAACACTGTAAACTACAATATATAGGACAGACAACAAGATCTTTAGATGAAAGAGTGAGAGAACATATTGGTTACATTAGAAATCTCCATACAAACCAGCCTACAGGAGAACATTTTAACCTTCCCGGACATGAACTCTACAATCTAAAGTTAGCGTACTACAGCATAAAAATCAAAATATTATTATTATTATTATCTTACAATGTAGATATAACTAGAAATGCGGGAAAATATTTTTCTTTGGTCAACAATATTTTAACAGGTTCAACACCTTTTTGCAGCAGGTCAGGCCATGAGTGTCCACAAATGTCTATAATTGATGAAAAGAAAATTACTTCTGAAACTTTTTAGCTTCAGTTTAGACAAGTTCCTGGTGTTCCCCTTTGGACAGTGGACACCCTGTAATACAGGGTGCTATATTCTTCCTATTTATACCTGGGTAGGGTAACTTTATCCTTCCTATTCATACCTAGGTAGGGTACTATATTCTTTCTATTTATACCTAGGTAGGTTAACTATATCCTTCCTATTCATACCTGGGTAGGGTACTATATCCTTCCTATTCATACCTAGGTAGGGTACTGTAACCTTCCTATTTATACCTGTGTAGGGTACTGAATCCTTCCTATTTATTCCTGGGTAGGGTAACTATATCCTACCTGGGTAGGGTACTATATTCTTCCTATTCATACCTGGGTAGGGTAACTGTATCCTTCCTATTTATACCTGGGTAGGGTACTATATCCTTCCTATTTATACCTGGGTAGGGTAACTAAATCCTTCCTATTTATTCCTGGGTAGGGTACTATACCTTCCTATTTATACCTGGGTAGGGTACTATATCCTTCCTATTTATACCTGGGTAGGGTCCTGTATCCTTCCTATTCATACCTGGGTAGGGTACTGTATCCTTCCTATTTATACCTGGTTAGGGTACTATATTCTTCCTATTTATACCTGGGTAGGGTACTATATCCTTCCTATTTATATCTGGGTATGGTACTGTATCCTTCCTATTTATACCTGGGTAGGGTACTATATCCTTCCTATTTATACCTGGGTAGGGCACTATATCTTTCTCATTTATACCTGGGTAGGGTACTATATCCTTCCTATTTATATCTGGGTATGGTACTGTATCCTTCCTATTTATACCTGGGATATCCTTCCTATTTATACCTGGGTAGGGCACTATATCTTTCTCATTTATACCTGGGTAGGGTACTATATCCTTCCTATTTATACCTGGGTAGGGTACTATATCTTTCTTATTTATACCTGGGTAAGGTACTATATCCTTCCTTTTTATACCTGGGTAGGGTACTATATCCTTCAGGTTTGGTTTGGCTCCTGAGTGAAGATTGGTGTTCTTGAACCTAAAAGTAAAGGGTTCAAATTTTAAACTTCATTAAAATAATGATGATAATAAATAAAAACCATTTTTTTACTTGCTAAGGACGAGTAAGTGCTTGAAATGAACTTTTATAAAAATAATTATTAAAAATAAGGAAAAATATTTATCGATTATTACATGTTTTATATGATGTTTCCCAAAGGAGTTTTCCCAAGTGGCAACTTTCCAATGGTATTTTCACAAATGGCAACTTCCCAAATGTGCAATTTCCCAAGCGTCAACTTCCAAGTCTCTTTGCCGTAGCGCTCGGCCCTCCCCCCACCCCGTCTGTTCTAGCCGCGACGCTCGGCCCCCTAGCCTATCCTAGCCGCAGGGCTCGGCCCCCATTGCAGTCTTCGGTGCCTCAGAGGTCCTAATCTAACCTTTTGGAACTTGCCGCTTGGCAAATTGGACACTTGGGAAATTTTCATTTAGGAAGTCGCCCTTGGGAAAATGACTTTGGGAAAGTACCTAACACATTTAATGTTAACATAAAGGTCTCAGCGATGGTTAAGCAATAACTGTGGCATATCTTTTTTTATAAATTGCAAAAAAACTGTGCTTTATTTTGACGATCAGTGAAAATTATCTTTAAAAAATAAAAGTGACTGTAATAGTAATCTAAGGGACTGTCCATGATTTTTTTTTAACAGATTACTTTTAATTGTGCGTTTTCTACAAAAGTCATTTGTGCATTTCTACTGCAGGAAAAAATATACAAATTATTAGAAATAAAAATAATTTTAAACCTATAAATCTATAGTATCTTCCACATTTTTGATCAGATAAAAGTTTCAAGGGTATTGTTCATGGGGGTATACTTCAAAGTACGATTACATCCCTGTAAGAAAAAATTTCTGTAGATATAAAATGCTAAGTTGTTTGAGTGTGCATGTGTTAAACAAATATGCAGATGATGGTTTAAATATATATATATTGCTGTGTAAATATTTAGAAAATGTGAACTCTTCCAGTTTCTGGAATATTTAGAATATGTCGCAATGGAATATTGGGACAGTTTTACATTTATGAAACATCTCAGGGTATCTTTTACTTTAAAAACATTTTTATTCTGAACTCCATAACAATCATGAAGTTTTAAGTTTTACATGAAAAGAGAGCTTTAAGAAATGTCTGTATGTATATAATTAGAATTTACGTAAATATTTTATTTCTTAGCCTTCAAATTAGCAAAGTTTTTATTTATAATTTTTCCTTTATATTAAATATTTGTGTTAAACGGGAAAATTTAACAAGATTTAAGCATATCTAATGGAAATGAGATTTTGCAACAAACTCTGATTTTCCCTATATCTCTTTAAATAATTGCAATCTCATAACGTATTAGATATTTCAAACTATAAATTCTGTTAGATCGAAAAAATCAAGTTTGAAATATCAAAGGTTTACACTATCAGATTGCAAAGACATGGTGATAAGCAAATTTGAGCTTATGACAGAATCAAATCCTTTATATAAAACAGGAGAAAAGGGGCTTCACGTCCACATACAATAAAGTACTATTAAAAGGACTTTATCGTTATATTATCCGTATAAAAGGGTTATTATGCCCAGGGAGTGAGGAATAGAAGGGAGATACAACTGATGCGGTTCGCCCTATCAAATGATTAACATGCTTTGCAGACGGGTACTCCATTTGTATATGAAATATTCAGAATAGGTTATTGTATACGCAGTAAATGTACATCAGACAAATATTTCATATACAAATCAAGTACTGTCTGCAAAGCATGTATAATCATATGGTAGGGCGAACCGTGTTAGTTATATCTCCCTTCTATTCTTTACTCCCTGGGCATGCCTGATTCACAACGGTATTCTTTATCTGATCAAAATGCGGTATTGCTAGCTTGAAAAGAGTTAAATTCTAAAAATTCCCTCTATTGTTTGTGCACCAGAAATCCGCAGGTCACTTTGGCAGCAACCGAAATGTTACCTTTGAAAGAATAAGATTAAGTTTTCTGTCCTCTTCAGTTTCCTTATCAGGGTCCGAAGGACAGGTTTGTACTACAAATATACATACAAATATTAAATTAATTTTAAAGAAGCAAATATCATAATAGTTGGTCGAGACCCATGAGAGTTCTATCTGATGTTCCTGTCTTGAGAAATTGATATAAAACTGTGTCAAATTTATACAAAAAAACGATATATACCAGATTTTATATAAAAATTGTAGAAACAGATCATATTCAGCAAATGCACAACCAATCTGAGAAGGATGATATCCCAGAGAAGCCTAAGAAACATAGGTTTGCCCTCATTCTCATGTTAATTTAATTATTTTATTTTTAATGGAATTAATTGATAATTAATCATACATAATTATACATATAATTAGTAATACGTTCGTATCACGTGACCATAAATCCCACCAATGGCAGTGCAGTATACTGGTCACATGATACAGACGGAGACACGTGACAATAATACTGCACTGCCATTGGTCACGTGATACAGACGTTTAAAAATAAATATGTATAATTATGTATAATAATTCTCAATTAGATCTATTCAAAATGACAACTTATTAAATTCAAATAATAATGGGAGCAAGCCTAAGTTACTTAGGTTTCAGCCTATACCCCTTTTTTTTCTCCTTTACAGTCCATTTAAATGTGTGAAAACCAGTTATCAAAACTGTGCCCTTCCCTTCTCCTGCCTGCCCCCCCCCCCCCCAAAAGTTTGATGGATATTAATACCGAAATGCATCGTGCACCATCTAATGAATTTATATTAGCATAATGCAAATTGTTGATTTATCTTATCTTCTATAATTCAAATTAACAGCTTTGATTAATTCATACATCTATTCTGTAGTCTGTCCACTGTCCATAGAATCATTAGAGTATCTCTGAAAATTTGGGGGTTGCTTGAAAAGCTTTAATGATAATATTGATCAACTAATTAAATTACAATTGTCCAAGATCATCAAGATAAAATAATATCAATTAAGAAATCATTTATATAAATCTTAAACAATTTTAATAATAATAATATAATTGATATAACTGCATTGTAGTAAATAGTTATGACTCAAATAATAAAATTTTTTTTTGGTGTTTCAAGAATTTTATCAGGGGTGTATTATTTTTGAAGATCAGGCGGGAAAGGAGGAAAAATTTGAAATCAAAATGCAAGATTTTTCATACAATTGTTATCCAAACAATATTTATTTTCATTAAGAACCATTTATTTTCCCTAATTCAGCAAATAATACTCTAAAAACATTTGAAACTTCTGGGGAAAAAAAATTAATTTAAAAGTGTGGGGGGGGGGAGGATTTTTCTAGACAATATACACCCCTGAATATTGCAAATAAACCCCATTGTCTAGAGTTTACCTAAATATTCTACTAACTGTTCATGCTCTCCTGGTCCAAACTGTCGTCCTTTGGATTGAGAGTACATCCATTCAGCCTAAACACATTTATTTACAGTGGTATGCGTTTAAATCATTATAATGAAGACGACTTTTATATTTAAGATGATTTTTTACAAGCTTTTTTCAAATTAAAAGTTTATAATAAAACAAAAACTGTTAATATTCTGTTTGTTTCCATGTTAATGTGTAATCCATGCTGTTTAAAAGCTTGGTAGGAATCAACATTTAAATCGAAAATCGTCTTTATTGTATTGATATAAACGACGACGACAACTGTATAGAATCTATAATATTATTGGGCCAAGTGATTGGTCAAACCTTGAAAAATTGGCCCTAACCTATTTTAATGAGCCTCTATAGGATTTAAACCTTTAAAAATTCAAAATATATTTGTAAGTTTCCTAATATAAGGTCAGTTTAAAACTTGCCTCAGCTTGTATAAGAGTTTCAGCGGTAAATATTTAAAAAAAATATATTAAAAAATTAAATAATTGAGAATTTTTGAAATTCTGAAAAATTGTCTTTTCTAACTTTTGTCTCTATGCAATATGCAGCAGTCCTCAAAAATGAAAAAATGGATAACATAAAAACCATCCTTAAAAAATGAATTCCTTAAAAGTTAAGAAAAATTACATAATAAAAGAATTGAGTTTAGAAACAGAAAAGTTTCTGATTATTGTAAATCTGTAGACTATACTGACTGAATACTATTAATCTAATTTTATTCCTCGCTTTTATAATTATTTAATTAGTTGATTCATAATTTAATTATACCATCAGCTCCAGCACACACATCTTGTTAAAATAATAGGAAAGCACCGTTCACTTCGGCTATAAAGTAGACTTTGTCTAGAACCAGCTGCAAGGTAGATTTTTAGAAAGCCCTGTCGAGCTCTTTATAAGAAAATTCCAATTAAACTTTGTTGTGTAGTTTAGTTCTAGAGAAGGCGTAGGACAAAAAGCTTTTCAGGAGATTAGGAAACCCAAAATGGTTTGAGCTTTTCTGTTTAATTATCATCATCTAATGATAAACCAAAAATATCAATTTAGTATTCTCAAATCTGAAATCTATAATATCTTAAAACTTCAACAAAACTTAAACATTGCAACGTTTTTAAAGTATTTTATAAAAAGTGTCTGAATCTTTTACATTTCAGGCTCTTTAAACGAACAGTAGAGAAAACTAGAATTATACAACTTAAATGTGCTTCCATTTTTATCATTTGAGGTTTAAAATAATCTCCCAAAAAAATGTTGAGTCAAACGCCTTTTCTATGTCTAAACTACACAACAAAGTTTAAATGGAATTTTCTCAAAGAGGACTCGACAGGGATTTCGTAAACATCTACCTGATGGATATATACAAAGTCTACTTTCAGAATCTGGCTTAGTTTTTAAAACCTACTTCATAGCTAAGGTGAACATGAGACAAGTGTTTTTATAATTTGTCGGTTAAGTTGATGAGAACAAAGGAATTGAATCTTTGCCACAAACTCCAAATTTCTAATCCTTATATCTTTGGAACTTGATAATGTAAAGCTTTGAAATTTCTAACTTGGATTATTTAATCTAACAGAATTAATAGTTTGAAATATTAAAAGTCTATTACATCGGGTTCTAAAGAAAACGGGATTAGAAAATTAGAGTTTGCGGCAAAGACTCAATTCCTTTAAGAATAGTTTATAATTTAAAATAAATATAATCTTTTAAAGGTACAAATTTATCAGTAAAGACAGATTTTACATGAAAATTAATAGATTTACCATCTAATTTATAGTTAAAAATTTCTAGCAAAATGTTAATAATTTCGAAATGTATGGAAAAATGAAAGTTTACAATATACATGGAAAAAAATCAGACTATCAAGTGCCAAATGATCAATGTTGAATTTATCCAATAGTAACTCAGAAAATTTTAATTAAAGAAAGATGCTGTTTGGATGTTTAAAAATGTTTAAGAATACACTAAACCTTCTCTTTACATCAATCGGTAAATGATATTTTAAAAAAAATAATTGATTTTCCTGACTGTTTGGCTGTTGGCGTACACTTTTTCGATCATTTCAAGAGTTTTGATCATTTGATATTACGAAAGTGTTCCACTTGAAATGAATAAATGATAAAAAAATAACCTTTAGACTCTCCTTCGGAGTAACCAGCTCTCCGTCCAGCATTCGTAAATGTAGTAACCAGTTTATCACATAGGGTCGATAATCAAACTGTTTTCTAAATAGAGATACTAAGCTATATTTCGAATAAATAATATATCACCACTGGAGACGCTTATATTTTTTAAGGGGTATTGTTCCTGGAAAGTATATCTAAACCCAGTCAAATAAACAAACATATTAACAAACTTAATCTCAAAAGTTTTTTAATTTTCTAATTTGTTTTCTGGATTATCACATAATTTAGACAGATATTAAACTGTATTCTTAAAATATGTCAATTGACAAAGAATATGAATTTCAAAAGATTTAATATAAAATAATGTGGTCTGCCTTTTCTCTGCTTCCAAAAATACCAGAGATAAAATGAATTTCATTAAGATTTCAATAAACATTAAACTTTAGAGTTTTTTTTTCTAAATGTGGACAAATGTAATCAAAATCATTCTCTACCACTGTTAAATATTTTGTTCTTTTCGATTTTTTATGATGAATAGTTAAAATGCATTCTGCTGATTGCAAAGTTGAAATGTTTCCATTATCGGAAGATTTTGTAAACACACAAGGGTAAATATTTGCTTTAAAATTTCTCAGTTGTTTTTTAAATTTCAGGAAATGCATCCCCCCCCCTTTCAACCAAAAAACAATTTAATGTAGTTTTAGATGTTTTAAATAATCCTAAATTTGATCCTGCCCCGNCAGGGGGTGAGGGAGGGTTTACATTTTAAAAATATGGGGTTGGGGGGAGAGATGGTTATTGAGGGTTTTACATTTAAAAAAAAGATGGGGTGTAAGGGGAGGGTTAGAGTGAGGCCTGACAGTTTATATTTAAAAAAGATTGGGTGGGAGGGGGATGTTCAAGGTTTATATTTTTTCAACTTAAAAAATTTATTTAAATTAAATTTTACAATATCTTAAAATATTTATATGATTTCAGATGGAAACATTTTGAGATTTCTTTATTTCTTGTTCTTCATTTTCTTCTTGTTTGCATATCTTTCAATCATACTTCGGCCAATTTTGAAAATAATAATAAAATAATTTTTGGATGTCATTGTAGTTCGCCACTTTACTAGTAATAACTATATTTAAAGAAGCTTTTTTTTCTGAACCCTGTATTTAATTGAACCAGCTGAGCTAGGCATTCTAATCTCTTGTAGAAAAGGGAAAAATGCATTTTGACGCATATCGTTCTTGATTATGTATGGTCTGACTAAGCACTCCAGCATTTCAGGATACTTTAGTCAGCTTCATTTACAGATCTAGAGCATTTTATTTTGGGTGGAATACATAGAGGGGGGGGGATGTCTCCCATCCCATGTTTGTCTTCTTTCGCTATCAGCAAAAAAGATAGTGCAAAGCATAACATCCCTTCTAACTTTCCTGTTCAATAATTTCTTCTTTCTTCTTGTTTATCTTGTTTCTACACTTTGAGGCATTTCCAATTGTTCTTTTGACATTGTGTTGTGGAGCAGGTAGGAGATAAATTAGGAGGTTTGAAGGAGGAAGGGTAAAGGGGATTGCTCCCTGTGTTTTTTTCTGTTATACTCTTTTCAAGTTAAGGGGTATTAAGGAAACCCATGACTGCACCCCTTATGAAAAATGGGGAATTGTAAGCCCTAAAGCCTCATTGAGAGGAATCTTCCACAGCAGTCCAGTCCTCACAGCTGGTCAAGTAAAAAAACTGGTATTGTTGTGCATAGCTTGTATACCCATCAGGGATTAGACTCTTTCTTTCAGTTACACCAGGCTGAAGAAGAAGTCTTGTTTTATTCTATGTACATTTCTCACTCCCCTGTAGGATACAAGATGTGAAACTAAAGGGGTGCTCCAATAAACTGTAAAGACAGGACTGCTATAAGAGAGGTCCGCTCTCTTCTGAGGGCAGTAGGCAACTGAGGGTTTATATTTTAAAAAAATGGGAGGGGGGGGGAAGGGGTTGTTTAAAAAGTTCTATCCCTGAATTCTGGTTTAATCCTAATTTCTATGCATTCTCTGGTCTAAGTTGTCACTTGCAGTTTGTTTAAAGGATGTTCAAGAATAAACTGTTGGGACTAAGATGAGAATTAAAAATCAAAATTAAGAAAATTCCAGAACATAAATATTTATTAAGAACCATAATCTTAATTACTGAAGTGACTGTAAACGTAATTTTAAGTGGCCCACCATTGATTTCTTGTAGAATGTCCTTTTAAAGAATGAATTAGAAATCCATATTTTGTTTTTGAAAAATGTTCAATTTTTTTTTTTTCTCTGCAAAAGTGACTTGTGTATGAAAGAACAGTGGCGTTTTTATTTTATTTCGTTGTACAGGATTTTTATTCCACATTTTTGGTCAGATAAATATATCGTTGTACAGGGTTTTTATTCCACATCGTTGGTCAGAGAAATGTATCATTGTACAGGGTTTTTATTCCTCATTATTAGTCAGAGAAATGTATCGTTGTACAGGGTTTTTTATTCCACATTATTGGTCAGAGAAATGTATCGTTGTAAAGGGTTTTTTTCCACATTATTGGTCAGATAAATGTATTGTTGTACAGGGTTTTTATTTCACATTATTGGTCAGATAAATGTATTGTTGTACAGTTTTTTATTCCACATTATTGGTCAGATAAATGTATCGTTGCACAGGGTTTTTAGTTCACATTATTGGTCAGATAAATGTATCATTGTACAGGGTTTTTATTCCACATTATTGGTCAGATAAATGTATTGTTGTACAGGGTTTTTATTCCACATTCTTGGTCAGATAAATGTATCATTGTACAGGGTTTTTATTCCACATTTCTGGTGAAATGAATGTATTGTTGTACAGGGTTTTTATTCCACATTATTGGTCAGATAAACGTATCGTTGTACAAGGTTTTCAGTTCAAATTATTGGTCAGATAAATGTATCGTTGTACAGGGTTTTTATTCCACATTATTGGTCAAATAAATGTATTGTTGTACAGGGTTTTTATTCCACATTTCTGGTCAAATGAATGTATTGTTGTACAGGGTTTTTATTCCACATTATTGGTCAGAGAAATGTATCGTGGTAAAGGGTTTTTTTCCACATTATTGGTCAGATAAATGTATTGCTGTACAGGGTTTTTATTCCACATTATTGGTCAGATAAATGTATTGTTGTATAGGTTTTTATTCCACATTATTGGTCAGATAAATGTATCGTTGTACAGGGTTTTTAGTTCACATTATTGGTCAGATAAATGTATCGTTGTACAGGGTTTTATTCCACATTATTGGTCAGATAAATGTATTGTTGTACAGGGTTTTTATTCCACATTCTTGGTCAGATAAATGTATCGTTGTACAGGGTTTTTATTTCACATTTCTGGTCAAATTTATGTATTGTTGTACAGGGTTTTTATTCCACATTATTGGTCAGATAAATGTATTGTTGTACAGGGTTTTTATTCCACATTATTGGTCAGATAAATGTATTGTTGTACATGATTCTTATTCCACACTCTTGGTCAGATAAATGTATTGTTGTACAGGGTTTTTATTCCACATTTCTTGACAAATGAATGTATTGTTGTACAGGGTTTTTATTCCACATTATTGGTCAGATAAATGTATCGCTGTACAGGGTTTTTATTCCACATTATTGGTCAGATAAATGTATCGTTGTACAGGATTCTTATTCCACACTCTTGGTCAGATAAATGTATCGTTGTACAGGGTTTTTATTCCACATTTCTGGTCAAATGAATGTATCGTTGTACAGGGTTTTTATTCCACATTTCTGGTCAAATGAATGTATTGTTGTACAGGGTTTTTATTCCACATTATTGGTCAGATAAATGTATCGTTGTACAGGGTTATTATTCCACATTTCCAGTCAGATAAATGTATTGTTTAACAGGATTCTTATTCCACATTTCTGGTCAGATAAATGTATTGTTTGACAGGATTCTTATTCCACATTTCTGGTCAGATAAATGTATTGTTGTACAGGGTTTTTATTCCACATTATTGGTCAGATAAATGTATTGTTTTACCGGATTACCCACAAAGGATGAGACTTGAAATAAAACTGTACAGAATATATACTGTCTGTTTCTCTTTATTAATGATTATACTTAAACTGTATCCTTGCCAAGTTATTAAAGCCATTTAACTCCATTTGAAGACTACATTCATGGCAAGGGGACTTAATTAAAAAACATTTTAAGAGTTTCAAGTCGTTTTTACAGTCTCATCCTTTATGGTGCGGGTAACCCTGTGTTATAAACCAACACGTGCCCCCCATTTTACCCCGAAAGTGGGAGCACATGCCTTAGACAAAAAAAAGAAAATGAAAAAATGAAAAGAAGGAAACAAAAAATGAAAGAAAGAAGAAAAAAGGGGAGGAAATTGGCATAAAATCTAATTTTTGTTACCAATATTATGTGGAAAGGATTATTTTTCTTTAATTTCCGAAAAATTTAGTGCTTTCTAGAATAATTTATTTGGAAATTTTTTTTTCTGTCCTGTCTTTTTTTGTATTTTGAGAAGCTTATCCTTATTCAGTAAATACGCAACCAATCTAAAAACGACGGTTTTCCAGAGGAGCCTAAGTAACTTAGGTTTGCTCCTATTATTATTTCTATTTAATAGATTTAATTGATAATTATTATACATAAATATACGTATAATTATTTATCCATCCGTATCACATGACCAGAACTCCAACCAATGGCAGTGCAGTATACTGGTAACGTGATAAAGACGGAAATTTGGACCCTTTTAAATTTTTTTCAGAAAAATTTTTTTTTGTCTGCGCCATACCCACTACTCTTTCTCTCCTATTTTTTACTTTTTATCCCCCCCCCTTCCCTTCAAAATACATAGCTACGGGCTTGCTACTTAATAATAACAATAACAATAATAATAATAATAATAATAGTAAGGATAATAATAATAATAATAATAATAATAAT